TTCCAAACGCCCACCATTTGATCCTCAGCTTTGCCAGCTACAAACGATGCTATCACCCACAATGGCCCACAACCCTTCACAAATTGATCAAACTTCATGCTCACTGCAGCTTTGGCACTCCTTTACCAGGCTTAACGGTCAAATTGGAAACGGCCTCCGTTGCACTCACCACGACCTTTCCGCAGAGTCGCTTCGGAAAGGTGCTCCACATCGATGGTTGACTGGTCCGCCTTGCTTACAGCTGGCTCTTGGTGAACAAAGCTTCCATCCTGCCAGCGGCAGGAAGTAGCTGAATAAGTCTTTATATGGGCATTTGGCACTAGGTTTTACTTACAGCTCTAGGAATCTAGACAGCGCTGTGTTTCTTGTTCGGGCTCGAAGATTTCGCGTTTTCTCGTCCTGGCTGGAGCGGCTTTCTCTTCGAACGTAGCCCGGACCTGCTTGAAGTGACCTGAGCTGACCACGTTCACCGACACGAAACGATCTTCCACAAGGGGTTTCCTCCGGCAGCTTCGAGAAAAAACATACACACATCACACACACAAAAAGAAATATAATATATATATATATATTATACCTGAAAAGGGGGGGGGACGAAAGCCAGCCTCTGTAAGAAAACATCAACAAGGCACTGGGGGTGAAGTCGAGAGGGCACTGGAACAGTGTCAAGAATGGGGAAATAAAAGGCAGAGGTGGAGAGTCGCAATAAAGGTGGGGGAGTGGGATACCCCTGCCCTTGTTGCTCAAGGGGCGTTGTGAAATTAAAAAAGGGCACCCCTAAGTAACGGAGGGGCGTTGGCGTGCTGTTGCTTTGTCTTGTGTTGCAGATAGACTCATAGAGCTGGTGTGCTGCCAAGAGTGGACCAAGGAAAGGTGATGCTACTGCTGTTGGAAATAGAAAGCAGGATACATGGGGTAGGGGGTGCCCTTTTTTCGCTCGGTTCAAGGGCGCTTTGAAGCTGAAAAGCCCTAAGGAACTCAGGGGCGCTTGCCCGCTGTGTGTTACTCACGTCCTGTAGATGGACTCAAAGACTCGGCGCGCAAGATCAAGTGATTGGCCAACATCGGGCAAAGAGTACCTCTATGGGGTGGAGTTGACATCGCAGCCACTCCGATAGGGGGTAGGTTCGGGGGGGGGTGCCCTTTTTCTTCCTGGTTCAGGGGCGTTTTGGAGGTGATAAAGGGCACCCCTAAGGAAGTGAGGGGCGCTTGCCTGCTGCGTGTTGCCAAACAGTAAGCAAAGATGGCTGTGGGGGGGCACAATGGGTGAGGCTATCGGCAAGCTTTCGTGAGGATACATATATGTATACACACACACATATATATATATATAGAGACAGAGAGACATATACATCCTACGTGAACACAGAAGTGTCTATAGAGGTACACACACCCTTTCACCCCTGGTCGAACACTATTTCAATGGCAACTAGAGACGCGCATCTCCCTTTCCTGGACGAGCTCCAACCACTTCTTCACGTCCCGTTGTCTCCTCTTTCCTATCATCGACATGAACTCCCACCCCTGGTTGAAGACGGCTTACGTTGCCTCCTGAGCCCCTCATGATGCTAATGATGCACTTTTCGCCGTCCAACTACATCACTTGCATCATAACATTCCAAAAACCATTCATTTTCTCTACCTCCTGGCCACCTCTTCGCTCTCCCCCACCAGGCTCTGGGTTAGCCCTCCCCCACACCCTTTACTCACTTCATGCATCTAACCCAACTTCAGCCCAGCCTATCGGCTGGCTTTCGTGATATTATATAATACACCCGTTGAGGCCCTTCAACTCTCTCTCTCTGTCTCTCTCCCATCGGCTTTCCAAACGCGAAAGCTTCCAAAGCGTCGAGATGCTCTATATCACCGTTGGCTGCCACAGTGTGGCTGGCCTGGCCGGTCAAACGAAACAAAGTGAAAGGCAAGGCTAGGTCGTTAGGCGTGCCTTGTACTCAGCACTTCTGGCTGACTGGAGGACAAGGGCCACCCATATGAAGAACATTCCCCTCGGACGATCACAGCAAAACGCTGCTTGCGCTGCTCGAGCCACTCGTCTGGATATGTGTGCGACAGTTGGATACGGCCTCCCCAATAGCCTGAAATGAGCACCCAAGGCAGCCCAAGGCACTACAGATTGGATTTTGAACACCTCAGGCACTTGAGCCAGTGGCTGCTGGACTACACTTCGACGCAGCTGCTGAGGCCATGTGGTCACAAAGAAACCCCCACACAGCTGCTCTCGTTTCCCTCAGAGAAGCGAAAGGCGCTCCGTCAAGGATGGTGGCGGTGGCAAGTGTTGTCCACCCTTTAGAATTTGGAAAGATTTCATTGGAGGCTTCAGCGAAAATCGGTCGCAAGGCCAGTGAGTGCTGCATTTCCCCTGCAGGTAGGCCTCAGTCGCCGCCCGATCGGGACCAGGGAGAGAGAGAGAGAGAGAGCCTAATAGCGATGGCCTTCAACCTAAGAGCAATGGCTCCAACCTAAGAGCGATGGCCTCCAAGAAAACTTGATAAAATGCAGTGATTAATCATTGATTAAGGAATTGAGAAAAAACTTATGTAAGAAAGTATGGAATGGCTAGGAATTCTCACATCCGAACGTGTAGGAAAACCGGGCCAAACAGGGCCAACCACCCCAGCTGCATCCCAGTCGGGCACCAAACTAGTAACTAGAACAAAACATCACCCCGATCGTAGCGTCCTTGTTCCTAGTAGCGATGCCCTTTGTTCCTAGTAGCTTCTTGCTCCTAATTGTAAGGCCAGGAGCCCCTAGTAGCGTCCGATCGCTCCTAGAACAAAACGCAAAAACACGGAGAACATGTTCGAAATCTTCGCCATAGTTCCTTCTCCTTCTTGCGTCGTGTGTCCTCCGAACGCCGAGCACAAGGAGCGTAGGCCACACAAACACCCAACCGTGCCGGCTGGGGTCGTGTGAAGCTTTGGGTCGCGTTTCCGTGACCTCCGACGCTGGCATGCACCAAGCGAGAGTTGAAGAAAACGACGCTGTCAGGTGGCACATCCGGTTTGATGGGCCGGAAGTCCGCATCCTCTGGAGCTCTCAGATGATCTCTTGTTCCACTCCCCTCCCAGGGATAAGTGATCTTGTGTGAGCCAGGTACCACACAGGTTCCAGCATCGTGCGGCCCACTTCCAAAATATGTGTAAACCCCCTGAATTGATAAAGCTTTGTGGTTGGGGTGCTGGTCTTTGTGTAGCCAGGATGGAAGTTTGCTCTTGGCATTCTGGGCTTGCGCGATGACAGCATCAAGACTCACCACTAAGTCATCCGTATCAAACATGCGCGCAAAGGCCTGTCTGATGCGGGGGTGCCCACGCACCATCCAAGCAAAATCTGCCTGTGGCAGCCCATAGCTGCTGACAATCCCACGAAAGCCTTTCGGGAAATTCCATGTCTGTGGTCTCCGGGCATCGAGGTCAGGAACCACCAAGGTCATGGCCTTCCAGAACTCATCCATGAAGGAGCTGCCATCACCCAAGACGCCCTGCAAAATGGCATAGCCCTGCTCTCGCAAGTGCAGCAGGAAGTCTCCGTTGGGCTCACCGAAGATCGCCGAGCCGCTCGACAGAGAGCACGGCACCGGCACATGCCGTCCGCTCGCCACGCGGCAGCGCTTCGGAGGCTCCACTTGGATCTCGTTCCGCAGGCGGCGCCGTTTCTGTCCGTCGAGTTCCCTGAAAGCAAGGCGTTTCTTTGTCTAGGAGCGATCGGACGCGACGAACGGGTTCATGTAAATCAAGCTGGAAGTGGAGCTGGACTTTCCCTACACCAATGACTGGTGGACGGACAGTATGGATGGAGACGTCGATGTGAGCTCGCTTGGGTCGGATGTGAGCAGGGAGAGCAGGGAGAGCGGACAGTACCGTGCTACTAGGTTGGAGGCCATCGCTATTAATTATTAGGTTGGAGGCCATTACTAGTAGCAAGAAGCCACTAGGTTGGAGGCCATGGCTATTGGGTTGGAGGCCATCCCTATTGGTCACATCCCTATTAAATCCTTTGCAGGCCCGCGCTAGTAGATTAGGAGAGCAGGGGAAAACACCGTGGCGTCGCGAGGCTGCTAGTGGCGTCCCGTGTCGACAGCCCAACGACCGTGGCGACGATGGCATGTTAGCATGAACACCGGCAACGCAGCAGGATAGCGCAAAAAAGGAAAAGGAAAGAAAGAAGGCTCTAAAGAGTTATATAACTAATATTGCTTTAAAAGGAAGACAGGTCTAAAGAATTATTTAGTATTGCCTAAAAAGGAAAGCGCCTACTAGCGATAGCCTCCAACCTAGAAGCGATGGTCTCCAACCTACTAGCTACCCCCGGTCACAAGCAAAACACTTTCAATGGCCACTCCTGACACCGAATTGATCACCTTCTTCCCTCTCGCGTCTTTCGCTTCTCTCGTTCTCCCTCTGGTCCAAATCCCCATGACATGATGTTCTTCTCACCCCAGGCTGTGGTTCTTCTTCCTCTGGCTCTTCATCAACATCAATCACCGGGACTTCCACCCAGTTTGAAACGGCATTGCAGCGCATGCTGATGAATATGCTAGGTGTTCTTGCCATGCCTGCCACTCCTTGCAGAAGAAGGGCAATATCGATGCGTCATCTTGCAGGCAAGAATGCATACGAACTTGTTCGTCCATGTTGGACAACCAGTAGCACAGGGTCATTCGGTCCAACCTATAGAGTCTTTTGATATCCTTTGATCGTCTTTTCGTCATTGGATCAAGGTCTTTGTGTTTGGGGTTCTCAGGCAGAGCTGCGCGTGTCTGAACCGTTGTGAACCTTCAAGTGAACATGAACCTTGAGAAGAAACGCAGCCAACTTGTGCCACACAAGCTGTCGCTGTGCATGATCAACGAGACCGACAGCATCCTCAACCAATGCTGCTATGGCTCGAGAGTTATCATCTAACTGGAAGTCTACAAAGGTCTTGACAAGGTCTACAAAGGTCTGCTACTGTCACCATTCTATTTGGCGCCGTCTTTTCCCCCGCGTTCCCCCTTTTGGGTCGTTTTCCCGCGTGTTCCCGCGGTCACGTCATCTGCTCCCAGCTTTACTCGCACCACCTGGCATCTCACAGAGCAGTGCTGCTGCTTGCTGACCCGCACCTCAGAGGTGTGGCAAAAGCCCAAATGGCGTCGCACGGGACGCCGGCGAACGGTTGGTTACCGAGGCACATGCGAAGGGCCAGGTCGCTTCGTCGCCGGCTCCGGCGAGGCGCTCTAGGATTCCACGAGCCACCCGCGTCACGGTCTCCTCACAGCGCCCAGGCGCATTCACTCATCTTAAGCTACTAGGGGCTCCTGGCCTTTCTAGGAGCAAGAAGTTACTAGGAGCAAAGGGCATCGCTACTAGGAACAAGGACGCTACTAGGGGGCTCCTGGTATCGCTACTAGGAGCGATCGGACGCTACTAGGAGCCCATCTTAAGCGCAGAAATTCAGACTGATAGCTTCAAAGGAGGAACGTGTTACTTCGAAGTGATCAAGAAAAGCCAGAGGTTGATGAACTTGGACAAGCAAAGGCGCCGACCTCGCCCCACATCTCGCCCCATTTGTTGAGCAAGCGTCTTCCTAGCGGTTGCGTGACAAGCTCATCAGTGGACACTGTTGGACACCTCACGATCAAACAAAAACAGGATGAAAACGAAAGGCCAAGATGCGACCAAACTGGTGCCAAACAACCATCTTCCAGAGGAGGTCAGTCAGAACACTGGTTTGGTTTAGTCCAATGGCTTGGAACTGGTCCATTTTTGCGCGTAAACGAAGGAATCCAAGCAACCAGCCCTTCCGATCTGAAGAAGAAACCACAGAGAAACCATGAACTGCCATGAACAGTACATAATATAACTACAGGACGAGCCTGTTTTTTTTTGAATTCCCATCGACACGCTGAGTCTCTGAGGGCTTCCCATTGCACTGGTCGTTCCAGGATGGCTGCAGCGCTTACAGGATGCACCGCCTCGCAACCGGACTTGGCCACCATGAAGTCCACCAAGCGCACGGCCAGCCTGAGGTTTCAGCACGCCCACGCCACATAGGGCATCTGAGGCATGGCCACATGATGGCTCATGTGCAACTCGGTAAGTGTGTGTGGAGGCACCCCAGCCAGGTATCACTCACGCTCCTTCCTAGTGGATGTGGGGAATGACCAATCACCGCCACGTCATCACGCCCATTTTGGTGCGGCAAGAGGGCACAGACGGCAAAAGGAAAGGGAGCGCTTTCGAAAGAAGCTGGGACACCTTCGAAAAGGTCCGACAAAGGGCGTGCACGCAAAAAAGGCAACAAAGCAAGTCGAGAAGCTCGTTTACAGAGACAAGTGGAAACCATCGAAAATGCCCGCTTTGTTCTCCCACAAACCGATCCGAAAAAAGGGGATCGGACTTCCAAACAGCCATTTTCGAAGTGACCACGTCCAGGGCACCACCTTCGGCCAAAGCCGCTTGACCCGGTCGCCACGTGATTTGCACAAAACGGTGTGGTCTGAAAGCAAAGAACTGCACGTAGGAAGGCAGAGAAACTGAAGGCTTGAAAGGTGTAGAATCATGATCTTTTGAAAAGGCCTTCATGTTGCAAACCTCGTTCTGCACCAGACCTGTTCGGGCGAAGCTGAGCTTCGGACTGAGCCTCTTCATAGCCCTCGGCATACTGTCCTCGGGCTTCGTCAAGAACTTGCTTCGAACGCTTCGAGCTCTGAGCTCTGCCAGCTCCAGCGCTTCGCCGAGAGGCGTCCGAGATCTTGGTTGATCTCGTCCGTGAGCTTGGTGAGAGCGTCGTGGGAATCGTTGCCCTGTCGTGGAATCCAATCGGCCAGAGGCACCTCGGGGATCTTGGCACGGTCGCAGCTCCACAGGATGAACCGGTCGTCCGAACCGACTCTCCACGTGGAGAACTCGTCCAAAACGCTCGCCCAGAAGCCGTGGAGGGATCGAAGCTCCAGCATGGATCGGTGTGCCGGGTGTCCAAATGCCAAGACCTCAGTTGCCGGCGCTTCGAACTCGCTCGGCCCGGGTTCCGGAGCGCCCACGACCTGGGCCGCCCATGCGAGGGTTTGCGGAGGCGCCCGTTGTCGGACGTCTCGCAAAACGGTGGCCGAGAGATGCCAATAAGATGGCCTAAGGAGTTGGGTCTTGGATCTCATCCAGTTCGTGGACCCCGCCCGTCCCTCGTTGGGTTCCGGTTCGCCATTCCAACCCACCGACCATCGGCCGAAGTCCTTCCGCTATGTCGGTGTTGCTGCCGAAGCTGCGGGAAGAGGATCGGCGACAAGACTTCTTTGGCAGAGGGCTTCTCAAGGAGCAAAGCCTTAAAAGATGTCCACCTGAACCGACGAGGATCCGATTCCAATGGATTCGGCTCGGTCCGGTGCTCGTTTTTGGACGATACGGCCACTCGGGAACGAAGAGCACCGATCAAGGACTCAGTCTGCAGCTGTATTCAGCTCTTCGATGTCTTCAGTGTCTTCGTTCTCTTGACTTTCGGACTTCTTAAGGGGAAGAAGGGAGGGTGTCGACCCTGCCCTGCACTGACCCTGCCGGGTCGACGAGGGGTGCGGCTTCGGTGCCCCCCCCGGTCCACCCGGTCCACCCGGTCCCGAGGTCCATCGCCTCTGCACGCCTGTGCCATCCATATCCTAAGTTGGTCTGACTCGCCACTCGCAGCCAATGAGTCCCAAAAAACGGCACAGGGCCCAAGAAAAAATCCAAAAAAATCAAACAGTCAATGCAACTCCCTGGACTTTGGAGAAAAAATAGAAGTTCACGTCCTCCAGCTCAGCGGCGCTTTCCCGACCATACCAGCCTTTCACATGCCTGGAAATCCAGGCATCTTGCAGCACGGGGTAGCCGGGCACAGAATACAATCGCCCCTGCCAGGTGCACAACCACTCTTGGCCGATCAAACGGTCCCGCTGAATGAGGAGGTCGGTTCTCGTGTTTCCATCTTGACCCTTATGGACCTTCTTCTTTCTTCGAAAGGCCGACGATGATATCACTTATATACCGTGAAGACTGAATGCTTGGCGAGGCGCATTGCGGGTCAGATTGAGCCTGCTAAATTGCTCAAGCAAGTTCTGTGGCCCATAGAACCTGAGATGCAAAGGGCTAGCCGGCTAGCCTACCCCCCGTGCCATCAGAAAGACCACGAAGAAATTGAAGAAATTCACGTCTTGGATTGAAAACTGTCCAATCAAGACCCTTTGAAGTGGCCGACCCTTTTCGTTTCCCCGTCACACCGGTCAAAACAAGAAAACGACCACTTCAAAGACTTCGGGCTCACCTTACTTCGAGGCTTCAAGTCTTGAACTTGATCGTGCTTTCTTGGCATCTTCTCTCTAAAAAAAACAAACGGTTGTGTTATGGTGTTCTTGCAATCTCCTTTAGGCCTTTGGAATCCGGACCTTTTCTTTCCCTTTTGACTTGCCTTTGGAATCCTTTAGACCTGCAGATCTTGCTTTTCTGTCTTCGATTCTTGTGAAAGCATACCGGGCACCTACCTTCGGGCCATGTCGACTCAGCTCCAGACACCGTGCGCCAGCCCCGGCGCTCACCTGCAGCAGCCAGGTTCGTGAAGTCCACGAAGGTCGTCCAATCAATACGCCCGGCACCTGTACTGTAGGAGCAAAGGGCATCGCTACGAACGGGGGAAAAAAAGGGACGGAACTCTTTCAGCAGGCGGAACTCTTTCAGCAGGCGGAACTCTGCCGAGACACACTTCGGCCAAAAGTTGTGGCAATCAGGTAGGCCTTCCATCAACTCCTCAGATTCAACAGGAACAGAACTGGAGAAAAACTGAAAAGAAAAGAAAGAAAGAAAGAAAACAACAAAGAAACCTAATACCTCCAACCTACGATGGCCTCCACCCTACTAGCGATGGCCTCCACCCGGGGATTGAGAAAAGAACAAAAAGGTCTAAATCTAAAGGGTTCTTTCAAGAAAGGAGAGAGGGAAAAAGAACGGGAGAGTGTGTATGGGGGATTTGTATCAGAGATTGGTACAAAAATAGGAAGTGTGCATTAGAAAAATATGATTGGGGCAATTGATAGGGAAGTTTGATTTGGGAACTTCTCATAGGGATGTTCTTCTGAGGCACACTTCGGCCAAAGTTGCCTTCCGGATTGAGAAAGAAAGAGATCTGCGATCGAAAGGGAAAGGAGACGTCTCTGCCAAGTCTCATGTGGTATAGGGGGCACAAAAATGCCATCATTTGTGCCGTCTACACTCAGGCTGTGCGCCAGTCCCTCCAGTGCAAGCAGTCTGGAACAGAAAACCTACGTCTGGAACAGCAAATTCCATGTGAACTAAGGTCATGGAGTGCAGCTGCGGATTGCAAGGCATCCCCCAAAATAGAATACTGCGACGCATGCACCGCAGTAAGCACCGAAGAAGAACAGCCTCGAAATTGGCCCCGTAGTCCAAGCTTAACTTGAAGCCACCAGTTGGACCAAGCAAACAATCCACAAGGTCAATGAAGTTGTCCTCCACTTCTCCAGTTCTTAGGCCTTTTGCGCTACTAGCTTGGAGGCCATCGCTAGTAGGTTGGAGGCCTTTTTTCATGTGGTTTCTTTAGGGGAGATGGCACTGGAGCTAGCATTTGTGCATGGAAGTGGGGGGGATGGCGTGGGAAAGGCCAAGTCCCACCTTTGCTCCTAGTAACTGTAGCGTCCTCTTGCTCCTAGTAGTAAGAATGCTCCTAGTAGCGATGCCAGGAGCCCCTAGTAGCGATGCCCTTTGCTACTAGTAGCGTCATCTACCAATGTGAGTTCCTTCTAATACACATTCGGTACGGGGTGAAGGCAAACCACCTCAAACTCAAAGGAAATCACAAGAATCAGAAAGCTTGCTAAGAGCCTAGGCCAAGGTTTGGTGCGGCCAATCAAGCATAACTAACGGAGTCAACCATAGTGAAACTAGTATTGCTGCATCAATGTGGAGCCGGTAGAAGTGAGTGGTATGACCGGCGTAGCCGGCCGGACCAGCAGAAGCTAAGCTACGGATAGCTACGGCAGTCTACGGCCTCCAACCTACCGGCGATGGCCTCCAAGCCAAGAGCTTCTTGCTCCTAGTAGTAAGAATGCTCCGTTCGTAGCAATGCCAGGAGCCCCTAGTAGCGTCCCTCTTTACTTTGTTTAAACCAAAGTCTGCACAAACGGAGAGATGCGACATTCCCCGGTCCTCACCAGGGCGGACCTTGGGAACAAATCCGTCGCAAACGGAAAAATAAAGAAAAAACACGGCAAAAAAAAGAAGAAACACGGCCAAAAAAAAGCCAAAAAAAGAGGTCAAAAAGGTAAAGGTCAAAATAAGCCTTCAAGGAAGGTCTGAAAAGACTTCTACATGCAACGCCTGACTTTGACAAGAGACGACCAGATGCAGAGCTGGATATCCTCGGTCCATCAGTAAGGCACTCCTCTCAGTCTCGAGGCTCACTTCGCAGCTGCCGAGTGGCCGAGCTGACGATAGAAAAGGGCCAGTTTGGCAATTCTTGCTTCATGAGCTTTGAACCACCATTCCAAATCATCGCATCGTTCCTGATGCATTCGAAGTGTCGTCATTTGGACGATTTCCACAGAAGAGAAAAGAAACCGCGCCTGTGAGATGGACACGGGAAAGAGGTGTGTCTGGATGGTATGCAGAAAGTCCGCCTCGAGGTCCGGCCAATCGCCTCAAGGCGTCGATGTCGCAGCGAAGCGGAGCGACCGAAGCACCGGACGAACATCGCCCAGTGACGTAGCTGGTGGCGCACCTGACGCGGATTTGGTAGAGATGAGATGGCTAGTAGATGCAAGTGGTCCATGACCGAAAATGTTGGTATGTAGTAAAGCCAGGAGCTACGTTCGTTGCGTCCGATCGCTCCTAGTTTGCTCCTAACTAGTAGCTTCTTGCTCCGTTCGTAGCGATGCCAGGAGCCCCTAGTAGCTTCGACATGTTCCAGACCCATGCCTGGCGATAAACATCACGAGGCAATGCCACAGAAGTCTGCAACTCACCTCACTGACTCATGATTGCTGGCCTACGGGTTCCTTGTGCAAGCAAGGGCGCCAGGAAACTTGCATGATATCAAGGCAAGCCAACAGAAGCCAACCGGCTATAAAATTGTTCGTCGTTGCGTCTGAGGATCCATTGAGTCTCTCGGTAATCATGCGCAGTCGGTCAGAGAGCTTGGTGTCTTTCCGGATTCGCATGCGCATGTTGTGCGACGCAAAGGGAACGCCTCGGCGTTCGGGCTCCGCGTCGGGTTCGGTGGTGGTCGCGGTCGTGTCGGGCCAAGTGTCCGAGGTCCAGGTGATTCACCAACTCACTCAGGCTGAAGGTAATTGCCAGGCAGGACGTGTTGGAGGAAACCTTCCACGCGGAAGAGGAGGATATTAAAAACAGAGGCTATCGCTATATAGTTATTAGGGTGGAGGCCATGGCTAGTTTTTCTGGTGGAGGCCATCGCTATTCGTGTTTTGCAATTTGTGATATTCTTTCTTTCTTGCGTTCTTTCTTTTCTTGTTCTTGTTTGTTTTCAAAAAGCCACCACGCTCCACAGCCTCGAGAATCACAAGTCTTGAACAAGACCGCGGAGGCGCCTGTTGCTGAACCTCCAGCCCAATGGTGGTATTCGCCATTGCCTCCCAGCACAGGTGGTGAAGTCTTTGGAAACAAAACCCACGCGTTTTGGGCGCTTTTTTCGATGCTTGGTGCAAATATGTGTTTTCAGTTCCGAGACCACCAAATGCTCACTACACACCTTTTAAGTAATCTGAGAAGATCTGAGAAGATCTGAGGATCTGGCACAAAAGGTGGCATCCGTGTAGCCTCGCACTTGTGAGATGGTGCCCTCCGTCATCTCCTACGAAAAGGTGGCGGCCGAAGTCGCTCGCCGCGAGCGGCGCGGAGATCCTGTGCCTCGGAGTAGCCTAGGATGTGCAGAAGGCTCCGCAGCTTGTCCTCTGAAGGCGTCGGCCGCCGAAGCAGCCGAAGCAGCCGAAGCAGCCGAAGCAGAACTCGACCCAAAACTGTCAACGTCCTCCGTGATGGTATGGACCAAGCGAACCTCCTGCCAGGATCCTGAGCGAACTGCGTTGGCCATGGCAATTTCCCAACCTACCTGTATTAGCAATGGCCTCCACCCTAGAAGCAATTCAATTAAGTTAAAGGAATCTTTAAAGAAAAGGACTAAAGATATCCAGAGGTCTGCCAAAGAAGCAAGACATCATCTCCGAATCATCACTTACTCACTGGCGTGCCAAGCATCGGCAGTCTGTGATGTTGGGCTTCCCGTACAAGGAAAACCTCGAGAAGAGAATGGACAAGACGCCATGTTCTCGGCATGTTTTCTCTAGTAGCGATGCCCGAAATGCTCCGTTCGTAGCGAACCTTGCTCCGTTCGTAGTAAGGCCAGGAGCCCCTAGGCCCTAGTAGCGATGCCCTTGTTCCGTTCGTAGCGATGCCCTACCTGGTGCTTCATTCGCATCGAACGTCCGAGAAGTTTCGCTCCCAGAGATTCCTGACTGGCGCTCCCACCCGAAGAAGCCACCCGTTTACAGCGATGCCAGCTGAGCGACCGGAGCTTCACGGGGGCAAAAGCATCCAGCAGTTCGTTGGAAAGCACCTGGGCCAGACGCGCGAGACTCCGGCGCCCGGTGGGCGAACTCTGTCGGTAGGTCTCCCCACGACGGAGGCGCCCGCTTCGGCGGTGCCCCGTTCTTGGGCTTCACATTCGGGAGCATCGCCATCGGCTCCTTGCTCAACCGTGGGAAGTAGCTGAGACAAGGAGAGGCCCCATCGACCCTGACCTTCTTTACCTTCTTTTTGGTTCCTATAGCCGGTAAGGCCTTTGGTAAGGCCTCTAGCCAGGGTGCCTTCTTGCGATGGATTCCAGACATGGGCGGTAGGGCTCCTTTGTGGTGGTCTCTTGGGAATTCCACAGCCAAGATCGCTGAGCAAGAAGGACAACAAAGCAAAGCGAGGCAAAGTGCTCTTGAACAAACATGTGTTTTTAACAAAGAGAGGTAAACAAATCTTTTCATGTACGGTTAAGCCTTAAGTGCAAGCGGCCACGACAGCCACACGCCTTGGCATGCAGGGGATGCCGCAAGCGCAGCCAGCACCGACTTGCAGCTACCCTGTGCCGCGCAGGATGGCACAGTGCATCAGGAGAAGATCAGACTCTACCCTCCCCCATCTTAGCGTCCTTGCTCCTCCCCTAGTAGCTTCTTGTTCCTAGGAGTAAGGCCAGGAGTCCCTAATAGCGTCCTTGCTCCTAGTAGCAATGCCAGGAGCCCCGTTCGTAGCTTCTTGATACACATTCTCCATCCTCAAGGACCTTTGTTTTATTATGTGTTATTTCTTCTTTGGATCTTAGGGACCGGACCTATAGACCTGACCTGGTCTCGTCTCTTCTGACCTGTTCTGACCGTGGGACTTGGGGGACCTTAGGGGCTGGACCTTTTTCTCTTTAGACCGGACCTTTGTGGTCGTGTGACTTTCCCTAGACAATTATAATTTGCACTCATTGACTCCTTCTTCGGCCAGATATCAGAAGGTTTCACATGTTGGCGTGGGCGCCAACATACCTTAGAGTATGTTATTTATGCCTCTCTGGGCATCTTGGCCAACTGCGGGCCTTTTA